GAACTTCTTTCCAGCGAAGTGACAGCGGGGAAGGAAAGCAAGGGACTGATTACACTAGTAAGACATGCCCAGAAGAGGAGGAAGGAAAGGTTGGTTGCACGTTTTTTTTCCGTGTGGGAGTAATGCCTCCCTGCCGATTGCTTTATCTCTCCCCCTATCTCTAAAGGGGGACTCAGTCCTATCAACATATAGAGATCTTGCCTCTGTCGCTGCATAGAGTGATCTTCTTCAATCACCTTTCAATCTCCGAGTTCGAAGGGTAGAACAAGGGAAGGTCAAGGCTTTCCTCTCATTACTCTTTCCACGGCAAAGTCAGCATCTTAGCCCGAAGAGCAAGGATTTCTTCCTCTGCGTCTGCTGCTATTGATGTGCCGATCTGGCGTTATTAAAACCCCCATGTATCTATTGTTTAAAAGCTCAAAGAATCCAACTCCAGCAGCATATTAACTGATATAGACGGAACGCGCCCCACATTTTTAGGACGTTCCTATCGAACACATATCCTACCTGTAAAGGGAAGATCGGGCAAGACCCTTATCTGTTCTTCTCATCCGTACCGTACTCTTTATAGAGAATCTGTCAAAGAATATGAGACCTTTGCAGAAGGCAATCAGCCGGAAATCGATGCCTTACAGCATAATCTTGGACTTGGCTTAGCTTCCTCCAAAAAAGAAAAAGCTAGTGGTAGGCTACAAATAAGTGAACTTTAGGTAATAAAGTAACTAGTTATCTCTCAAACAGCGGTTACGCCTTTTCCTAATGCCCTTACTAAACCACCAACTGCGGTTATTCCGCAAAGACCGGATAAGGCGCATCTATCTAATAGCGGACGATTTTCGGCAACTTCGGAGCCCCGCCTGAGAAAGAAAGAATACATTCCTCACGTATGCACAGGCCTATGGGCTTTAGCAAGCCCCTTTCCAGTCGTGGCGTATCATTTCAAAAAGTTAAAGGCATATCACCGTCAGTGCGCTGTCGAAAAAAGATCAGTAGGATGATATAGGAGCATACCACAATAAGGATATTTTTGTACGCCTAGGCAGTGACTCTTCCATGTCAAATAGTCTTCCAGTTGAGATTTACGGTTCCGAGTTAGATTCTAATTGCGAGAAGGAGGAACTTAACTCCGATTGTGATGGCGACTGCCTAATAAGAATGGAGAATAGGGTAGGAATGGAAAGGGATAACGGCGGATAGTGAGCTGGATCCCCGGGGTCGCTTGGGAGCATCTTCTTGCTCCTGAGGATCATTATTTTATTTCATGGAATCTCAGGTTCTGAAAGAACGTAGTAAGTGGTTAACTTTGTTGACTCGCTCGTTAGAGGAAGTGAACGGTTGGCTCGAAGAGGGAAGAGATGCGCCGGGTCTTTCTCTTTGAATGGCGGAGATAAATGGTAACAAGTCAATAGACTTGCCTACAGACCCTACTTTTCTAAATCATACAGGATAGGGGAAAACTTAACTTCCTTCCTTTCCGTCAACCGACCTATAGTCGCTGAGATAGTATTGGTTCTATTCATCTGACCGTACTTCCACCCGGTGTTAAAGCTGCGGAGCTCGAGGGATGTCTTTAAAAAGGTCAAGTTTTTTCTTTTTTTAGACGCGGTCGAAAGAATACCTGAGAGAAGGATGGGCACTTCTAATAGTAGGCGTAGGCCCGTCGCCCTAAAACTCATACCTGTGATTAATAAGAATAATTTTCTGAGTGTCCCCGCCCTTCTTCCCGTACAGAGTCTGTCAAACTCAGCTGTCTTAAACGACATTGGCGCGGTACTCTGATCTGATCTACTCATATCAGAGTACGCCACTCGTGGTCAGAGGAGAGCCTGGAGGAGAATGGGAGAAATCTTTTAGTTCGCCTTCATTCCATAGCTACTTAGTACCTCGGATCCCTTCTCCTTTGAGAACTACCACTCAAGACTGTTGGATCACTCATCAATGTCATCAGCTTAAAATTATGGCTTTGGGGAAGCCGATGCTAACTTGGCTGACACTGACACCGAGAGGAAAAGGCTTCTTTATGGCATTCCCGGCCTACGAGGTTCTTAACTAAACTCTGGGATTTGATAGATAGCAATAAGTTCCGCCGTCACACTATCTGGTTCAGGAAGTTCTCTAGCTTGATTTGAGCTCATTGGCTCACCAAGAGTCATTGCTTTATCGATGGGCAATAAAATCAAAGACAACTGTGAGGCTGCAGAGGGGAAGAAAGGATAAATTGAGAATAGAAGCTTTACGTCACCGGTTCGTTAGTAAACTGGGACACGTTTAGCATGGGTAAAGGTCGGTGAGAAAGTGATGATTTGAGGCGTGAATTCCACCAAGCACAACTCCGGCAGGGGAAGCTGTAGCTTATGGGGTGGTCGTGGTATAGCCTTTATAGAATATCCTCTTCCCCAGGAAAGCTAACTCAATAGGAATTATCTCTCTCGCCGATGCTATTGAATCCGCAGCTGTTGGTCTTGGTGGTAGGGATATAAGACCAACAGTGGCTGTGTAACTCCCCAATACTTCACCCCATGTTTCAAGAGGAAGGTCTATCTTTCAGCTCCTCCCTAAAAAGTGGAATGTACTGCTTCCTTTCACTTACCGTAGGGTATGAGAGTGGGTATAGGTTTGAGTACGGTGTACTAAACTCAATAGCTACAATAAATCATTGCTTGAGTTTAGGGCTGTGTAGCCTGGTGTTTGAACCTTCCTCTCACCTTCTCCTTGGCCTTTTCTCATGTGCGCTGGTGATGGTGCCTTACTAGAGGAACGTTTAGTGAGAATTGACCTCTCCCTCTACCTCTGTCACTTCTTGTGGCACTATAAAGCGATAAGGACAGATGTTTTACCCTGGGTCAGGGGGTCTCTTCCTACTGCAACTGGTGTTTTAAAAGCTCCATAAAAGAACCTAACTCCTGGGCCTGTGCAGACTCTTGGCGAGGCTGTTCCAAGTGTGTAGGCCCCACATGTTGCTCATCTCCCCCTGTTGGTGGTCTTACAGTAGCAATGGACGTAGAAGGAATTCTTTGCATGGCTTTTTTGCATGAGAAGGTTCAATAACATTCACCTTAGTGGGACCCCCCAGCACCATCTTTCCTTAGTCAATACTAGATGGATTCCCTATTGCTATGCTAGCTTCCTTGGGAATACAACCTTGCACTGGTTTAGGCGGTATCCGGGCCCTTTTAGAGGCAACAGTTGACTTCCCCTTTTTGTGGTCCCTCGAATATTCTACAGTCTTGTTACCTTCCACAGAATTCGCAGGAAGCCCCAATAGCCTATCCTCTTTCTAGCTTGAGGATGTAAAAGTAGTTCTTGTCCATTCTGTCTTTATCTGAGAGTGAGGGTAGTAGGTGTAGAAGCAGTCTTGTAGCCTTTAGTCGGCTAAGGGCCATTTCGGTATCGTGCTAGTAAGGTAAGAGCTGCTGTCGATTCTGGTAGCATTCCAAGTCTTGGATTGGTCCATTCGTTAAGCATTGGAATCGCTTTGCCCGCTATTCCTTCTCTTTCTGTCTATCGTTTCTCTTTTTCTTTTTTGCGAGTTAAGTTCCTCTCCTTTTAGATGTGCATTCCCGATCTTTTTAGTCTCTTGAATATTCGATTTAGAGTTAAGAGGTGTCTATGCCACTAACCAACTCCTTAAAGAAATACAAGAGCTTCTCCGGCAAACCACTATAAGTACCCATCGAGTCGAGCAATTGGATGCTAAGAAAGGTGTCTTTCTGGGCTAAATTCTAAGCCTATAGACTGAATTAGGAGAGCAGAGGTTTAATCCAAAACCAGGAAAGCAAGCTATATCGAAGCCCAATGCCAAGCAAAGCCCTAGACTACAAGTGAAGAAATAGGGTTCCACTAAGCGCCCTTAACCCGACACAAGATGGGACCCTATTAGGTAGGATAGTGGGCTTAGTCAGCCCAACATAGGCTGTCTACCAAAAAGGGGAAGTTCCCGTGATTTAAGGTTTCTGGATATCCTACCCTAAGACGAGAGGGTTGGGCTTAGAACAAGACCCATCGGTGGATAAGATCACATCTTCATAACAAAAGGTGTACACGTTCGGCCTCACTCAAGGTAATGGGCCAAACCTAACGAGTCCAAACAAATTGGATCTTTTTGTATGACAAAACCACATATTGGTAATTTTTTTCAGTAATTTATTTCCTCAAGCAATAGGGTTTTACCAGTCCCAGCAGAGCTTGTGATGAACACGGATTTGCCCTAAGGGATGGCAGACAAAATATGCTTCTGCTCGTTTCCCCATTCTATTGGAGTGAAGGTTAGCCCAATGTTAGCATTCAGATCCATTTTCAGCCCTGGCCCGGAAATGCCACCTTTTCCTGGCTTTCCAAACAAAGCCCATCGAAGTCCAGTCCATCTAATTTATTTTTTACCATTCCAGGACGGCCCAGGCCGCTATCCGAGTGCAATCGGCAAAAGCAAGTTTACCTTACTTATATTAATAATATAATTCGTTCTGCTGTCAAAAGTAGGGGAAAGTGTCTGATCCTTTCAATCAAGCGATAGAGGCAGAGGCTTTACTTCTTCAGCCTACGCTAGGACGGAGCTGCTGTCGAGTGACGATTGGCCGAGGGGAGTTAAATCATGAAGCTGGGTACAAATAAGCCAGTAAAAGACAAGTAGAAGCCAGTGAAAGAGGAGTAGTCAGGGTACGACGAAGCACGCCTGGTACGTAAGCGAATACAGATCACGTGGGTTTGTACTGATCCGCTTTCGAGCTGTCGAGTGAGGATTGCTCCATCTATGAAGAAAGGACGCAGGGGGCCTCTCTTATTATATTATAAAGGGGGTTACTCTCTTCTCTGATGTGCGCTATATTATTAAGTTATATTCCTGAAAGAGTTTTCGGGATTAAGCCACGTGGCGATACCCGCGAAAAACGAAAGACTCTTTTTTTTTCGCTTAGAGCTTCCCACGTCTATAAATAGAATCTGCTTTCTCTATTTGGCAAAGCAAGGGGAGATAGATATGGATCCACCAGTTACCACTTTAACGCTTTTTCAAATTGAGCAAGCAATTCTTAATGTAGAGAACGCAAAGCTCCAGCAGGAGCAAACCCTGGCTGCCTTCTGGGAGCACATGCCTCCTGTCGAGGAGGAGGTCCTGGTAAAGCGGATACAAGAGCTCCGGGACCACATTCGCGCTCTGGAAGAACAAAGGAGGGTTCTCATCCGAGAGCGTGAATTGCTGCTTATCAGGGCGGCCTCCATCATCCGCAGGAGACCTGGGGGAAACTACTAAGAAGTCCTTTGTTTTTGCTTTTCTTTTAACTTAATATGTTGTTTGTTTACTTTGTTGTAATGTTGTGTTTAGTTGTGTGGCTGGTTTGTCTATGTGTGCGTAAGCTTCATAAAGGGTCCGTCGACTCTTTCTAGAAGATTTAAATAAGTGTCTGTAGACGTAAAGTAGTGTGTTTTAATGTATGGTGTTCTTTGTCTTTTTTAGTTGAGATCTACTCCGGATGCTTACTGGAGATAGACTCCTATCTATGCTAACTATCTTTGTTTGGTTTTATTTTTTATGTTTGCATGTATGGTATGGGAAAAGCCCTAGTTGTAAATCTTTACTACTTATGAAAATATAATAAATAATAATGTTCGTAAAAATGTGCTGAAAATTTATAAGGTGTAAGCTCAGTGTACTGGAGATGCGCTTATTAAGCCTTTCTAGCTTTGAAGCAAACTTCTTCCTTGAGTCTGCGCCGTCTTAAAAACCAAACCCTAATCTTGCTAGTTCAGTTCGTGTGTTTTACGTGAGCGCGTTGAACTAGTGTGCATGGACCTTAGCCACGAGTTTTTCGGCCTAGACGCTAATAACACGAAAACACTTTGGTCCTGGGTTTTCGATCTCTGTTTTTGCGCTTAGTCTTGCTTCTTTGGTCACTTCACTTGAGCTATAGATTAATTTATCCGGGTTCCCTGCGGGGCTACCTCGCTCTATGAACTCACTCCACTCCCCCTTACAGGAATAGAAGACTCGGTAATCAGTCTCAAAAAAATAGGGTGCTGGTAGCTCCTGAGTAAGAAGATAAAGAATAGTTCCTTTATTTAAATTTAACTATTTATCTTTCTGTAAGCGAAGGTATCGAATGACTTTCTATTCAGCTTAGTAATCAATTCCATCGCTTACTGTTCTCCTTCGGATCCTTAGTAAGTAGTCAGTCTGTTGCTTGTTTAGTAAAGGTCACTTCCCTTTTATTGCTAAATAAACTTTATCACCATCTCCTGGGCGATCCGTTCACAGAGTCCTTTCCCATTCTACCTAGGGCAACATGTTGAATGAATATTCCGGAGAGCCAAGAGAGAATGAACTGCCAATAGACTTGAATGAAAAGCTAAATAGAATAGAATTGATTACAGTTGCAGAATCAGAATAATCGGAACTATTCTTTATCTTCTTACCGTTCGTGACCCTATTAGTGAGCCAACAAGCAACAAGTAAACTTCCAAAGCTTCTAACAAGCAAGCTTCAATCGGTAAAATCCCCGAGTGAGGTGCCCTAACGCTATACTATAGGCTTGAGCTAATCATTCCTTCCTCTTGCGAGCAAGCGATTTCACATTCTTCTCCCTATCAGGCCTTTTGTCCTCGTAAGCAACGATATTCCATCACTTAGTAGCTATGGTATTAAATCACTCGAGCTAAGCGAAGAGGTATGAGATCACTGAAAGGAGAGGATTGAATCGGATGCTCGGATGATCGACCGATAGGGAAAGGTTACAGCTGTAAGAAATGCGGTTACTACACTCTGATTTATCTGATTCTCGTTCGCCCACTTTACTTCTTCCTTCTTTGGCGCTGCTGGAGATGCCCCACAAGGCCTTCTTTCTCAAGATTTCATGCGGTGAACAAAAGGAAGCAACGCCGCTACAAGCAATAGAAAGCAACGTTTATTAATCCATTTCAGTAGGTGGCGGTGTAAACTAAGTATCAACAAAGGACGCTTTCTCTCACCCAGCCCTTTGGAGGTGTTAACTCTTCGCCTTCGGCTTTCTATTGAATGATCCATCTGGTGTGCTATTTAGACTCCCCCAGTTAGGGCTTCTCCCTTTTCAATCTACATGGCATACGTACACGAATGAATATTCAAACTCATCGACTCGGCTCAAAGCATATGATCAAAGCTCTAGTGGCGCACATAGCAATATCAGAATAGAATTATCGTCGGCCTGACCAGCAGTAATAGCGAACTAACACTGTTCTAATAGATCCTAACCCGGATCTGGGGGATACCCTTCTTAGAAAGTAGCAACAAGGCTGTGAGGGAACTGTGCGGGGTATACCGACATGGTTGAAACAGTCTGCTACGTTGATGTGGCACTTTGGTGTGTACCGGTAACCCTTGAGTTCAGTCAAGGAGAGTACGGGGCCTCCATGTGGTGTCATGAAGCATCAACAGACCTTAGGAACCTTAATTGAACCATCTTGGCCTCTTTAGGGTAGTGAGATAACTGACTTTGGTGCAGTCCGAGGTTGGTTGATACTCGATACTAC